GCGCGATTATCTCATCAGTGGCATGTTGACTGTCATAGTTTTTGCCATTAGGGTGATATCGTGATAAAGTACATGGATCGAGACTTGACTTGCTGTCAGTGAAAACATCTTGACAACGTAACGTGTTCATGAAATCATGATTTTTTAGTGTAATTGCTGTTGCATTGAAAAATGTGTACAGTTCAGAGATCGATGTCATTCGCTAACATTCTACTCAATTGTATATTATCGTAGTATTTATTAGCTTGTTTGCAGAATTCGTAAACGACCATTCAGTTTTAAAAGATTAATATATTTAAGCTCGTCTGTATTAAATATTAATTCTACTCATCTACTGCGAACAAATGTTCCAAATTTCTAATATATACAAAAACAACCAAGAACATTTTCGTCGCAGCAAACATTTTCAAACAGTCCATTCATTTAAAAAAATTCCAAATTCCAAAAACAACCGTTAAAACCATACAATCCCAAATCCCAAAAACTGTCGTTAAAACCATAAAATCCCCAATCCCGAAAACTACCGTTACAACTATAAAATCCCAAATTCTAAAAGCAACCGTTAAACCTATACACCGTCAAATCTCCAAAGAACTGCTCGTTAAAACACAATTTCATATCTTGCAGAAACAGCCGAACACAGCCGTACCTCTAGCGCCGCCGGGTATACCGGACTCATTAATAATGAATGGCAACCATGCGCCGAAGAAGCCAGCAACGCGAACGACGGGTTCAACACGCCGATAGCTTTAACCCAGTAGCCCGATCCCCCTGTTCCTCGTCGAATATTAAAACCGATCCAACGGGGGCGGCGGTGCGCGCGTGATCAATCGGTGCGGGGACGGCTGGCTAATTAATTTCAAAGTCTCTAGTCGCGACGACGCCACGCCCGTTAACACCGTCGAACACCGGGGCGTGTTTTCCATGTCGATTCGCCGCGCGACCGGGGAACGCGTGCTCGCCGGCGAAATTATTAAGGTTAGTGGCTGGGTCCCGCGAGAACGCTCGATCTGTCGGCTCTCTCGGTGGTTGCTCCACATTCGGTGACCTTTTCCAGGGACGGTCGGCGAAATGTCAGGGTGCCGTGCGCGCGAGAG